CTATCTATCTATCTATCTATCTATCTATCTATCTATCTTAGTCTATTCATATCTATCTATCTGTCATGATTTAGTTTAGTCATATCTATTTATCTATCTAGCTAGCTATCTATCTCATTCTGTAGGTAACTATCTTGATTTAGATAAACAGAGAGACGGAGACGAAACTTATGATTTAAATGTATTCTTTGACATATTTGCGTACACGCGCGTATCTGGGTGCACTGACTCACCCACGACAGTCGCTCAATTAAACCCACACAGACGTTATCACACATAGGCAAACAGAAGTCATTCGCACGTGCTTACATTTAAATCGCTGAACAGATAAAACATTATGTTTCTTTATTTTTTTTCAAACGTCTGATAATGAGTTTAAAAGACATTAGTCAGTTTTTGCGAAGTTCTTGTCAGGCAAACAATCGAAAAGTAATTATTCGCTTTCAATATTCTCTCAATATTTTCTAAGCCTAATTGAGAATGGCACAAGGCAAAGGGATGCTGGATGTGGATCTATGAAAATGGTGCGTCAGGTCTCTCTCTCTCTCTCTCTTTCTATCGCTCTCCCCCACACATATATAGAGATATACATATCTATCTATCTATCTATCTATCTATCTATCTATTTATATATGTAAGCAAATATATGGATATAGATCCGACTATTTTGATCTAAAGCGTAAATTTTAGATCAAAATAGAATTCTTTTCATTTTTCATTCAAAATACTCAAATTTTAGGAATATGTTTTCACAGCGTCGCCCACGTGACGACAACGTGACCATGTTTTAAACGGAGCGCTGATCTTATAAAACTTTCAGTTATTTGTTTGGATAAGTCTTGTTCTTATGTACATCGTCTTTGTCACGTTGAATTGATAATGTTAATTATATTTTATGAATATGTCCTGAAGATGGTTTATTAGACCAAAACGTCCGACGTTGACATTATATTAACATTAATCAGCATAATTGCATATAAGGATTTTTGTTTTTTCCGGATATTTTTCTTCATATATATATATATATATATATATATATATATAGATGTACATATATACACAAGGCCAAGATGATGGTAGAGGCGAAGCTATGAAAAGCTCTCTCTCTCTTTCTCCGTCTGTCTGTCTGTCTCTCTCTCTCTCTCTATATATATATATATATGAAGAAATATAGTCTTAAGATATGCTATATTTATGGGATAAAGTGCTCAATATCAGAGATAGAGCGTGTGTAAATATAAAAGTGAACATAGAAGTCAACACTTAGGGGCGACAGTATGTTTCATGCTAGATGCAATCGTCATGCCACGATTGCGTCTAGTTGTTGACTTCTATGTTCACTTATATATATATATATATATATATATATATATATATATATATATATATATATATTCAAATTTAAAGAAAAACGAAAAGAATATAAGTTCAAACCTTCATAGCATTGATTTAAAAGAGGGCTCAATACCAAGAGTAGAACAATAGTTATCAGCAGAACGGTCCTAGAACGGGTAAATCCACAAATTAAAAACCAGCTTGGTCTCATCCATAAGTAATTAACTGGTATAGGAATTTTGACAACAAAAGTAATTGTACTTTCATCCAATTCGATATTGTGGATTTCTATCCATCTATATCTAAAGACCTATTTAAAACGACTTTGGAATTTATAGAGCTTTATTCCAAGATAATATAAAAATATAAAATAAATCAATATCATCTTAAACTCTAGAAAATCAATCCTAATCCACAAACATGAACATTGGATAAAAAGTTCGGATGAAGATTTTGACATATCTATGGGATCATTGGATTCTGTATGTCCTCTGATTTAGTAGGATTATTTATTTTGTACAACCTTACTGCATATGAGGAAATTAATTTAAATAACATAGGGCTTTATAGAGACGATGGTTTAATGATAGTAAATAATTCTAATGGCAGCAAAGTGGATAAGCTAAGAAAATCGATTCATAGAATATTTAAATTTTATCACCTTAAGATTAAAATTAGCTCTCAGCTTGATTTCTTAGACATAACTTTAAACTTAGCCTTTAATAATTTCTTGAAAAAACAACGCTCGTGCCATTTATATCAACCCGAACTCCAATCACCTAACGTCTGTTATTCAACAAATCCCATCATCTGTTGAATGTCGTATTAACCATCACTCCTCTAGCAAAGAGTTATTCAATAAGCATAAAATTGTTTATAATAAAATTCTTAGTTAGTGGTTATAGATCTTCTAAGATTATGTATGTAGAAAATTATAGTTATTCTGGGAAGAATAACAGAACAAGGAAGATCATTTGGTATACACCCCCGTTCACTAAATTAGTTCATACCAAATTGGGACGCAAATTTTAAAATTTGATTGACAAACATATCCTAAGAATTGTCAATTAAGTCAAATCTTCAATCGTAACATCCTGAAAATTACCTGTAGTTGTACTAACAATCTGGATAAAATTATTAAATCACAAAATAATAAAACACTGAAACTTTATAACGATAATAACTGTAATACAAGAACAAATTCTAATATATCCGGTGTAAATGACTTATGTAATTGTAGGAGTCCTGATCAATGTCCATTATCAAACAAATGCTTAACGGAATCCATTGTATACATGTGTTCTATTTCATCAATTGAAAATCCTGAAAATATTAAATTATATGTTGGTTCCACTAAGAATGCCTTTAAAAAACGATATTATAATCGTATTAAAAACTATATTATAATCATATATCTACTAGCAAGCGTAAAATGAGTTTCCAAATATTTCTGGATATTGTAAGAAGAAAACAAAACACCTAAATTTAAATGGAAGATCCTCAAACAAGCCAGTAGATTTTTGCATAAATCTTGCTTTGAACGTCTACAAGAAAAATATGTATTATTAATCTTGAATGTATTTTCAATATATTTCTCCTCCCTCGTATAAATATTGAGGGCTGCCAATTCTGAGTGCTCTTAAATAGATTTCATTGATCATTCCGGATTTTATTTTGTTGTCTTAATGGGAGAAGTTTATTAAGTCATTTTTATTGGTTGATATTCAGTGGACATTAAGTTCCAAGTTATCGTCAGCTCAGTGTGACATGATATTTAAGAAAGTTAAAGTATTGTTTTTTTTTCTATTTCCTATATCTATCTATCTATCTATCTATCTATCTATCTATCTATCTATCTATCTATCACTTTAAGCATAATCTATCTCAGTTTAAGCATTATTTATCACTATATATATCTACCACAGTTTAAGTACTATCTATCTATCTATCTATCTATCTATCTATCTATCTATATATATATATATATATATATATATATATATATATATAGAGAGAGAGAGATTTCTATCTATTTATTTAAATCAGTTTAAGCATTATCTAGGTTTAAGCTTTAAGCATTTTCTATCTATCTATCTATCTATCTATCTATCTATCTATCTATCTATCAGGTTAAACATTATGTATCTCAGTTTAAGCTTTATCTAACTCAGTTTAAGCATTATATCTCTCTATATATATCTACCTCAGTTTAAGCACTATCTATCTATCTATCTATCTATCTATCTATCTATCTATATAAGCAAGTATTTTCTATCTATCTATCTATCTATCTATCTATCTATCTATCTATCTATCTATTCAGTTTAAGCATTTTCTATCTATCTATCTATCTATCTATCTATCTATCTATCTATCCTCGAGATGTCTCCCTTGTCGTGTCATTGTAGTTGTTGGGTATGACTCTCGGGCTTAAGTGGAAATCTGGTTAGCCCTTCCGTAAGAAAACGATTCTCCTTGGTCCTGTGGCGACATTTGCACTGGTTCGCACCGTAGGCACCACGCGACCCGCCACTATAACTCTTAAAAACGC